AAAAAAAATAGAGAATGACAAAGTGAAACCATTGAAATTTATATAGCATCGTGGAGGTGCATCAATTTTCAGATTTTTGATGAATACGTATTAGTTTTCCAATACAAAAAAAGCGTTTGAATTTTGAAAATAATCATTACCTCCAAGAATGTAATAAATTTCATACCACGTGCAATCGGAGAATATTATTAATTATTTAAAATGCAGCTTTGTAAAGTTTTAAAAAATTTAAGTATTAAATGAAGAAATGTCGAAAGAGTATAAATAATCGTTATTTAGTGTAAGCATGTAAATAAATAGTGAAATTACGTTAAATACGTAAGTGCAAGTATACAAATATTTCCTTAAAACTGTTTACACAAGTGCAGTAGCTATAGTCCTTTTTTCATCATAAGAATCGTAAAAATGGTTTTGTTTTAATATTTGGCTTACGAGTATCTAAATGGAATTTGAGTCCAATGCAAGCTCTTTACATAGGTATACGAAATATCTATAAGAGTGCGCTTAGATTATGCGTCTGCATGGAAAATCTACAGAATATTGGTCAGTAAAAATTAATGGATGTTTTTGAAAGAAAAGTTGAAACTCCGAATTGAACCGAATTAAAAACTCTTCAGTTAACGACTTGATGAAAATGCAATAATTTTTTGATTGGTGTAAATTTTGAAACGACATGTGTTAATAACAGATTTTAGGTGTTTCCAAAATTTTGGCCTTTCGATGACAAGTTGTATTTGAAAAATAATACCATTTTTGTCAAATCGTTATAACTGGAAAGTTCAAACTTCTAACTTGTGTTCAATTCGAAATTGTAACTTATGTTCAAACTGACAGTCACCAAGTAAACGTTTTTTAGATGTTTAATAACAAATATACCGAATAGTTATAAAATTCTTATACAGCTATAAGCCTTTTCATGAGAATTATGTACCGATGACTGCTATTGTAACATGTAAAAAATAAACTAGAAATAATGTCAATTTTTTATTGATACATAACATTAGAATATTTAATTCAAATTTAGATCCTTAAGATTTTTTTTTTTATTAAATCATAGTGTGTTGACCTCCAGCTAGGTCACGTGCACTTACTATATAATATATTATATACTTATTCATCTGAATTTGTATGGCACCATCATATTAGTCATACACCCGTTGAGCACTAACATTCTGCATTCTACAGCCTCCTAATATCTGCCTGCAGTCTGCCAGACACGATACACGATATATTATCGATAGGCATGATAGATGGANTTAACTAATAACTATGTACAATTTTTCTATAAGAAATTCCTGTTACTTGACGAATTTTACTCCTTTTTTAATTCTTGTATATATACATATATACACATATGTTTAATATACATATGTGTATATATGTATATATGTATATACATATATACATGTATTATATTATTGTTATTACACTACGAGAACGAGAAATAGTAATATATTATATACTTATTCATCTGAATTTGTATGGCACCATCATATTAGTCATACACCCGTTGAGCACTAACATTCTGCATTCTACAGCCTCCTAATATCTGCCTGCAGTCTGCCAGACACGATACACGATATATTATCGATAGGCATGATAGATGGATAGATATGGTAGAAATGATAGAATAGATATGATAAAAAATCAATTATCATTGATTTTGACATGATTTAGATAAAATGATAATCGATATTTGATATATTGTAAGTTGACATCAGCGCCACCTAGTCAAAGTCAAAGTCAAAGTTAAAGTCATCGCGGTGAAAGAATATGTCATTAACGTATCAACTATACTAAACTACTATATACTCATCAACTTGCACGTAGCCTATAACATTT